CTGCTTTGTGTTGTACCTCTAGGCACCTCACGGACAACTGAAATGGGCTGACTGAGTTCTTGTATTTGAACCTGAGAAGCAGATCTCTGATTGGTCTATGTCATTGGAGTCCAAGTAAGCTGGTTTCTGATTGGTTCCTTATCTAATTGATCCAGAAATTTCAAGAGAACTGGTTCCTGATTGGTCTGTCTTTGAGTCAGGATACTGACTGGTTCCTCTAGATTAACCACTGATTAATTCCTTTTGAGAAATTCCAGCAGAGCTGATTTCTAATTTGACAATTTTGAGCCAATTTTTCTGGTGAGGCTGCTACAGATTCCTTTTGATTAGATAAGGACTGTTCAACCTGCAAATAGTATAAAAATGGCATCTATGCTTTATTGATGCTCAAACTCACCTCCTTTCTGTTGATGTTGCTGGAATGTTTATGGAATTCAGTAGACTCTCTGTGTAATTGCACATGGCAGTTTGACATGGGTGGCAGTGCCTGTATATCTTCAAATTGGACCTTATGACTAATATGACGCAGAACATGTTTTTAGAACGTGTTTTCAGAAGTGCTTCGTCATCTCTGTCTTCCCAGGAATGATTGATCCAAGGTTACCCAGCTAGCTTCTATGCCTAGTTCATGTTTAGCAATACTAGTAACTATGGGCTCCTGGCTTCTAGCCCAATGCCTTTAACCACTACACCAAACTGGTTCTCTATATTTTTTGTTATTCTGGTTTTACTATTGATAAGTGGTGTTTTTCCTACAAGGTATTCTTTTTCAGAGCCCAAATAATCTGACTAGACTTGGCCCTTGAATAAGTTGAACTATATGATAGGAGAATTTCACCTAACCTTAATCCTACGGTTTGTTTTTTGGGCAGTGTAACTGGTAAGATGTCAAGCTAATTGATAAGATTGTGATTAGTTTAAGGGCATTTCTAGGTCATTTACTTTTGCAGTACTTGTTGGAATATCTCCTTCAGTCTGGGGCTTTTCCTTTGTTATTTTTTATCAGAAGAATATATTATGGGCAGGCAATTGCTGGTCCTAGGATCACATGATTTCATGTGGCCATTAGTCTAGTTATTACCAGTTCCCTCAGGAAATCAATTCTCACCCATGACAAAACCAATATGTCCTTTTCCTGGCAACATTATTGATGATATTTTATTTACAATGATTTGTATGCTGCCTACTCACCAGACTGTATGCATCTTACAAAATTAAGGAAATTTGCATAAAGCGGCAGGAGAGAGAGAGAGCTTGAGGTTGGTGTCTGAAATNAGCCAGGCTCGTGTACCCTCCCGAGCCGCCAGTACCAGCCAGGAGGGACACGGATCCAATAAACATGTGGTTGCATTCAGTCTCCCCAGGATCCTGTCCACGTCCTCGGGAGCCACAGAGTCAAATTCCTCCCATATAATAGTCTCAAGACCTGCTCCCGCCACCTCCCCCGGGGCCACCCAGTCGGAGTCCAAACCCTACCTGAAGTATTCTCTTGTTCATAAAGAAACAAAGAAGGAACTCAGCTACCTCTTGTTTAAGTGGATTTTATATACTCTCTTTTTCAAGGTCTATAATATTGTCTAGAAACTTCATCAAATTTAAGCAGATGTTCAGGGCAAATCTAATAGAAACGAATGTACTAAGACCAGCTATGTCAATAAAAATATTTCTGCAAGTCAGCTGGCCTAAAAAATGGAATAAATCACTTTGCTAATAATACTCTATTCATTGTACAACAATGTACAAACTCTTGTGAAAAGCTCTCTTGTCAGCAATCTTGAAATGTTTATAGTACCAGTGAAATATATTAGACTAATTTCATAGAGGGAACCTTCTTAATTATGAGTCAGGGTAGATAAAGAAGAAGCAGAAATGTTGAAATGGCACAGAAATATCTTTGTAGATAAGACTAAACTTGCATCATTATTAGAAGAATTCTGTCATAGTTGCATCCACTTTGGCAAAATGATGGGATTTTCATGTTGCTTTAATGTTAAAGACAGCTCCAAATTATTTCCCCAAACTCTTTTTCACTAGTACTGTAGCAAGTGCTAATTTTACCCTAACTTTGCAGAACATCAGATCAAGCTTTAAATTAAAAATATTTTCTAAGTGCATTTTAGTTTAAAACCGCCTTCGCCGTCATAAGAGCAAGCTTATTTCACCAAAAATTATTTAATACATTTGGTTAGAATTATTTCTCCTGTTCATTGAAAAAGTCTTGAAAAATGGAGACGTAGAAGATGCTAATGTAGTCCATGTTAGACCCAATAGGATTTATTTCCATGTCTTCCTTTTACTGTTTGACCTTATCATACTCATTTTATTAATCAGCCTAGATTTTTAAGCATGTATTCCACCAATAAATTCTACTGGATTTCATGTATTTTTGGTATTAAAAGATTTATCGTGCTCAGTTTAATAGGATCTATGACACTGACTAAATTCGCAGACTTAGTACATTAAGGTTCCTCTCCATTTCCAAGAATCACATTAACAAGAACCCTGCAGAGATACTGGCACCCTTCGACAGAGCCTGATTCACTGCCACTCTTTGCTTCTACAGATAACTTTGTCAAGATTCTGTTGTTTTTCAAACTTTGTATACAATTGGCTCTTTTGATGAGAAGAATATCAGGAGATAATGGTCCTCCTGCTTTTTTCTTCACTATCCACCACCCGAGACTGATGCTTATACAACTAACAGCACGCATATACCTGCTAAAGCACTACCACAAGTGTAAAGAAAATCCCAAGGGTGATTTTTCAAAAGGCAACTGGACTTCGTTTTTCTTTGAAGATACTTCGCTTCTCATCCAAGAAGCTTCTTCAGTTCTGACACCAATTCCAGTTCTGATTTCTTGCACAAGAAGCAAAACATCTTCAAGGAAAAACCATGAAAGTCCAGTCGCCTTTTGAAAAAGCATCTTTGGGACAACCATGACCTGGATGACTGAAAATCTCCATAGATGTAAAAGAAAATGAAAGAAGATTTTGGGGAGAAGATGGAAGAGAACGTGTGCATTCATTTGCCTATAAAAAGGCATTGCTATTTCTGTTTATTAATTCTATGTCGGACTAGCTACATACAAAGGTGTGTACATCTAACTGCGCCTCTGTGTTTATGTGTGTGTGAGAGAGAAAGAATATTCATCCCAGCATGGAAGAAACATGAAAGCACCATTTTTTTTTTCCTCTCATGCGGCCTGATCAACTGATCAACTTCAAATTGGCAATGTGGCCATCATACCAAGCAAAGACAGAGCTTACTTCTCACTTCAGTATTCTGTACTAAACAATCCAAGCCAATGTCCAAAATGAAAAACATAAGCTATTTTTAAGAGGACTCTACTGCAAGCCCTTTAAATTACAAATTTGTCTCCTTATAAATAAAGACGTATTTTGCTCTCCAAAGCTTTGCATGTTTATTTCTGGTTCTCACAAAATTAAAGCACGAGGGCAAAAGATCCGTGGAAGGCGATCAGGAAGCTGATGTGCTATATGCTTCTGGAAAAAGTTATCTTGCTCAAAAACTAAGTTTAGAAGCAATTGTGGCCTTTTTTTTAATACCTGCCACAAATATCTCAAGAGAAAAGAGGAAAAAGACAGACATCTGAAGAGACGATGCAACAATATAAAACCGAAATGATAATATGAAAGATAAAACCATTATTAGTCTACTAAGAGACAGACAATGATAAGACAATGGGCACACGGCTATCGGACACACATGAGATGGGAAGAAGAAGAAGAAAGAAGGAGAAGAGGAGGAGGAGAATAAGAAGACAATTTTTTTGTAATAAAAGAAAAGTTAAAACCATTTCCTTGATGGTAACAATGGTCATCAGAAATATTGAAGAGTTTTACTCTAGTAGGATGTAATATGATCCAAAAGTGAGAAACACTTGTGCAACACATTCAATCTAATAATCAATGTGTATCTAGGACAGTGGTGGCGAACCTATGGCACGGGTGCCAGAGGTGGCACTCAGACCCCTCTCTGTGGGCACGCATGCCATCGCCCCAGCCCCGCCTCTTCCTGCAGCCTCCTCCTCACCAGCAGCCCCCCCGGAGGAGAGCCGCCCCCCCCAAGCGTGGGCCGTGTGGAGCAGTGCAGCCAAGGACATGGCAGCCGGGCAGCAGAGACAAGACTCTGCCCTTGCACCCCATTGCGTGCAGTTGATGCTGCGGGCACGGGTGGAGGCCGTGGCCGCCATGGCGCTGCAGGCCTGCCTGGGCGATTTGCTGCGGGCTGTGGAGGTGGGTGGGTGGGCAGGTGGGCTGGCGGGCGGGGTGGGGGCAGGGGTTTTTAGGCACTCATTCTCTAAAAGGTTCGCCATCACTGACCTAGGATTACAACCCAAGACTTGCAAAAGCCGCATCCAGAAGTGGCATGGCAATAATGGAGCCTGGCAAGGAAATGTACCCATGGCTTTTCACACAGGCCCTATGTAGGCCAGTAAGTTGTTGCTAGATAGAATTACGGGCTGGGCTCATTTTAAATGCCCATATGAATATTAACATTATTAGCATCATTTATGCTGTATTTTTCTTTTTTAAAAAAAGACTAAATCTGAAGGAAGATGAGGAAAGAAAGGGCATCACTGGCCATTACTGTCGCCGTGCGCTCTCACAACCTTATGTCCTAGGTCAGGGATAGGCAACCTTGGCTCTTTTATGACTCGTGGACTTTAACTCCCAGAATTCCTGAGCCAGCTATGCTGGCTCAGGAATTCTGGGAGTTGAAGTCTACGAGCCATAAAAGAGCCAAGGTTGCCAACCCCTGTCCTAGGTCTTCTCTGGGAGTACCCAACAGCTGCTGGAGGCCATTTAGAATGTATCAATTTCTATAACTGTCAGGTCACCAGCTCTGAATTTGGAGATACACTCACTTCGGAAGCAGCCATCTCAGGTTCCTGACCTGCCATTATGTGCTGTTTTGTTGAAATAATAAACTCATCTGCATAGCTCAAGGCAGTAAATCAAACATTTAAAAATCTTACCTCCACAACCTCCTCATAATCATCTTCGTCTGCCATCTTTGTGGAAAGCCCGTCCACCTACTCACTGGTCCCAAAGCAAGTCAGATAAATAAATATCAGCACGATGAACTCAAGGCTGCTTACTTATCAAAGCTAGTATCTCTATGCATTATAAAAAATATTGTAAGAATGTCTTTACACAAACACACACACAGAAAGGCACAAAGAGAGAGAGAGAGACAGACAGACAGACTGACCAACAGACAGACAGATGTGCATCTGTAGTATATTCAATAATGTAGGCCAAATATTAAATATTAAAATATACAATATTTATAAATATTAATATTTATAAACCATTCCTAATAAATATTTTATTAATTAATAAAATGTTAAAATATTAGAAAACATTAAACCAAAAAATATTATCAAAAATTTCATCTTTCTGAAAATATATGTAAAGGAATGCCATTTATCTTGAGATGTTTAGCATCAGATTGCCATTATCCCTTCATAATTTGTATTTCTCTCCAATATCTCATACACAGAGAAAAAAGCCAGGGTTTTTTTTAATTGTGGAGACATTGGCCTCTTTCCACATTTTGGACAATAACATTTTTTGCAAAAAAACCCCCCAAAAAGCAACAAAAACAAATTGCACCATTATTTTCCTTTATGAGCCTAAATATAGCAATTCTGCTTAATAGAATTGCTTAGGATGTAGGCAAGGAACAAACATAGATTATCATATCTATCTACTCTCTTGAGGGATGTACTTGTAATGAAAAATTAGATAATATCATAAAGTCTCTTCCTAGCTTAATTGAGTATGTTAAATAGAATATATAACAATCCAAAGGCTGTGTATTGTGCACTGAGAATTTATGCAAAAACATCTACAAGGAGATGAATAATTGACAATTCTCAGCCGGCACTAACCAAAACATTAGATGCTCCATTAATATTTCTTGAGTGAAAATTCACTTAATTTTGACTGTGAAGGTCAACTAGAAGGTCCTAAATATGTTTACCAGCAGCTAGAAAATGAGCTTAGGATAAGGAGTGCCAAGCATTGAGCCAACAGAACGTTAGCATTGCACTGAGGTGTGCTGGCTATGGCGGAGGCGAAACCTGGAGAATTTTTCATTTTAATCGTATTACGCAAGCAGCTTGCTAGGTCACCTCCACAAAAGCTTTCCTAACCTAGACATTTAGTTAGGCTTTTTTCCCCTTGTTTTTCAGATCTTGCCACAAACCTTCACAGAGAAACATACCTGTGGGCCGACTTAATGTTACTCTGTGTAAACTAATAACCTTGGGATCTTATACAACAGTAAACAACCACAAACATTAAATCATACAAATATTGTTCAAATGACCTTAACTTAATGAAGTTAATTTCTCTCGTCCCACCATTGATCTCCGGGGATGCTCTCTTGCTTTGCTTCTGTGGGTGCTTGACGTATTTCTCCAACTTCAGTCCTAGAAAAGATCAAGACTCTGGTCATTTAGATGGAAGAGAGGCAATGAATGAATTAATGCCTTGGGATGGATTAATGCACTGGAATGAGCCTGCTGTGAGAGATGGCAGATCCCTCTTTTCTGGTGCAGGGAAGGAGATGAAGGCTTAGAACAGCTGCTTCCTAGTACAAAAATATTTGCCCTGTAAGCCAATACCCCAGAGCGATTGGCTGGTTTTGTCTAGTTAGCTGAACTGCCATTCCTTCTGAGGCAAGTGGCACTCCGGTGCCGTAGGTTAAATATAGGCCCTTCAAACGCTGCCTGTTCCTAGTGCCAATTCCATACAATCAAGGTGATATCTAAAATCAAAGGATAAAATGTTTGTTTCACCTAGGGAATAGGACAAGGCCTGGAGGAGAGAAAGACCCAAGAGCGGCTTAGCCAAAGAAGCCATTGAGCTCCATGTGCAAAATGTTTGCAAACAACAGAGGCAACCTCTCGTCTGCCTTTAAAGCCTCATCAAACTCAGAACTGATCTCTCCCCAAGCGGGATTACTTCGATGCTGAAAAGAAAAAGGATGTTGAAATTTGTAAAATAGTAAAAAAACAACAACAAAAAAAGAATCCCTCAGGCCATAAAGTCCACAAACAAACAAACAAACAAACAAACAAAAAACCCCAAATAAAGAATAATTTGGTAGAAAGCAAACGCCAACCTGTCTTTCTTTTTAAAAAAAGCAAAAAGAGCAAGCTTACCCGTTATATTTAAATAAATTTCCTTAGGAGCAAAGCCTCTCTGACTGTCCTCCCTCCTGAGAAAAGCTGGGCAAAGGCAACAGTTACTCTGATGCATCAGCTCCTAAATCATCATGTGGTCGAAGGGAGCCAATCAGACTAGGCATGCTCAAGTTTCAGATACTAAATATATATAGTGACCCTTTGGAGGACCACCTGTTCGGTAAACCCTCCAAGCAAAGTAAAGTAGCTCATACAAATCATTGATTTGTTTTTTAACCTCAATCAAAACATAGCAAGAGCATCAGCTACTTATATACAGTTCAACTGTTATTCACAAAGATTGGTGAAATACCAACCACTATTAAGGGTTGCTAATTACAATGAAGTTCAAGACAATAGGCCAGCGGAAGGATTTTTCTCATCCCACTCTCCCAGAAAATCTATGGTTTCTGAACTTGAGGTGATTTACCATAGCCTTTCATCAAAGACAGGGAAGACAAACATGTTAGGTCAGTGGTGTCCAGCCTTGGCAACCTTAAGACCTGTGGACTTCAACTCCTAGAATTCCCCATGCTGGCTGGGGAATTCTGGGAATTGAAGTCCACAAGTCTTAAATTTGCCAAGGTTGGACAATCAGAAGTGAGGTCTTGTTGTCTTTTCTCCATCCAACCCTTCCAATTTTGCTGGGTCTCAAGTCTTTTAGGATTGGGACATAGGTTGTAGATGCAGAGTGTTCTATGTTATGGCATTCAGAAAAGATTGACAAATGAGTATCCTCAAGGATGGGTTGGTGGGCCTAGAAGACATGCCTTTTCTGATGGTGCACCCAGTTTATAGAACATTCTTCCTCTGGAGATCAGGGATGGCTTTTGTTGGTTTTTCATAAGGCCTTAAACAGGCTTGGTTCTGTGCCCAAGCCTGGAGCCCCAGGTGTCTGAAGGGACCTGGTTGTGTTAATGATTGGTTTGTTGTTTCTTGACTGCCTATATTTTAATTTTTGTAACATTTGCTATTGTTTTTATTCTATTTTAATTCTGTTTGCTGCCCAGAATCATTCTTTGAGATGTACAGCTACAGTATATAAATTGGATAAATACATAAAAAGATTTAGTAATTCCGCCCATTGACCTTGTGGCTCTCTGCTTTTTTTGCTCTTCAAATATAAATCATTTCAAAGAAGGGAGTAAAGTAATTGCTGGGTCTCAAAGTCTTCCAAGGCCTGGGATATACTGTATATTGTAGATGCAAAGTGGAAGACAGTGATTCATGTTCTATGTTATAATTGTCATCATCATCATCATTATCATCATCATCAATTTACAACCAGTGGCCTTATCCATAAAAATGCTGCTTACTCTAGTTCTAAGACATTCCTGCTTTACACTTGTTGATTTGGCTGTCTTCTCAGTTGAACAAAAGTTTATCTATGTTGTCATGTCAGGCCTGATTTTTTTCCCCTAGAATATTGCCTAATATAATGGTTACAGGTTGAAGTGCAAGGCCATGAGTATTGACTGGGCTTATGTATGTTGCTAAGGCATGGATTGCCAAAAATCAAAGCAACATTATTATGGCTTAGTGTGAAGGATGAATCCCCATGAAATTCCAAGGTGATCTTTATCTAGCCTCTATTCCTTTCCTTTCACTTTCAATCAAGCCATAGGCTACTTCATTGCATATTGATTCTATCTTGAGAGCTGAATGCCATAGTATATTTATACTGTAAGCTAGTGTTTAAACTTTTCTTTTCTTTGTTTATTTTAAATTATGCCTGCTAGTTAATGACTACATGACCTCCTCTTTGACATCCATTTTAAAAACAGTGTCTTATGTATAATCTTGAGACAGGATTGATTACAAAGATGAGACATCCCTCTGAATGACACCACTGTACTTTTATGACACTTCAAGACAGATGCCGAACGATCCCCCCCATAGTTCATCATGAAACATAAGCATGTGGGAACGGTGACTTCATCGTTGATTTTGAAATGATGAATCCAGTTTCCAAATTTAAATTGTGGATGGGAACATTCTTCATTACTCAAAATGTTTGGTACTATCAGTCCATCAGAAGACCTATCATTTCAAATAATTTGAAAGACATGAATAATTGCACTATATTTATTTATGTACAAGAGTTATAATACACTCACTTCAGATGTCTCTACTGCTAAATTCAATTCTGGCCTTTAGGGATCTGTTATCCTGTTCATATATTTTCAATGGTTGGACTCACATGAACTTCATTCATTACAGTGTACTAATTGGTGCTCAGTACTCCACACGTCCCTGCCCGGTACCTCCACTGAGGATCCCAAATTAGTGGGACTGCTGCATTATCAGGACTCTGGATCAATAGAGCACTAGGCACTGGATTTTTAAGTACTTGTTTAGCAAAATCTAAGAGGTAGATAGAAGGAACGTCAACCAGATTTGTTGTTATTATTTCTGCTATGCTTACAAGTATAGTATAGAAGGAGCTGATAATCAGCTTTGAATAATAAATCCTATAAGACATAGGATTTGGTTTGGACAAAACTCAGCAGCACTTTTTCGTGCAGCTGCTGATAAAAATAGGATCGCCAACAGGATCGCCAATGTCCGATAACGGATATGGCACAAGAAGAAGAAGATAAGACATAAATCAGATTAATAAATAATGTAAAAAGTTGTAGGAAAGCAAATTTCCTGGAAAATTTGACGGTGTTGTCCAAACAATAAGGGGGGGTGGGAAATTGCACTGAAGACATGTGAGAAAATAGTAAAAGATGCAAAAAGAGACGTTGAAAGTCATATAATTCATAATTTTAAGAACAACTGCAAAAGAGACCTTAAAGTAGATGAGAAATAGAAAACCAATTTAAAGAAGCTGTTGTTCCCTTGGATGACAAGGAATTAAAGACTCTATTACTAAAGATACATACCATTGCCTTCATGTTCTCCCTGTAAGCTTTCTTTGGACATTGTATGGAAATAAAATGTGCACTTAGACCTTCATTCTCATTCAGCCATTTCTTTTTCAAATACTTTATTGATACCAAAAAAAAGTGCATGGCTGATGATAGGTTGCTATCTTTTTACCTGGTGTTTCTTTAATATATTCAGATGAGATCATTTTGACTGCAAAACAGGCTCATTAAGGGGATGCCAAAGCATAACTAGGGAGTCCTTGTTCCAGTTTAACTAAATCACCCCATTCAAGTTGTTGAATACATGTAGATACAAACACACACATGAACCCTGTTAACCTTCCCCTCCTCTGCTCCTTCAAGCACCAGCTCTTAATACAATTTTTAGAATTCATTTTCCTAGCTGCTTGTGCGAGGTGAAAGATACATTACTCAGATGCATCATACATTTCACCTCCTGGGACTCTCTTGGCCACTAAAGCCCTTGCAGCTTTGCTTAGTCATCCATTAAAGTTGACTACAAAAGAGAGGGATTGATGTATAGAATATTGCATATTATGCAGTGTTCAGGCACAAAAAATTAACCTTTCCAGCATCTTTTAGAAAATTCCAGCTTTCAACCTGCCTTTGCTTGGAGTAGAAGCAAACCATTTACTTGGTGGGTTCGGGAGTCCTCTCAGCAACATGAATATATAGCCATTGTAATAAATCAATAGGGAGTTTGCTCCTGGTTATTTGATCTCTTTTTTCTGCTGGCCTTCCCAATCTTTTTTATTGTGTGCATAAAAATGTTTTATCGCTTTATTGATAAAAGAGAGTCAATGTGGTGTAGCAGTTGGAAGCTGGACTAGGCCTAGGGAGCTTCAGGTTCAAGTCACAACAACTCATAAGATGGCTCTGAGGCTTTGAAGGACTTTGGGGCCTTTTTGTTCAGCCCAACCTACAAAAGAGAGTGGTTGTTGTAGGGAAAACCTGAAGGAAGTGCTAAACAAAGACAAGATATGAACTGAACACCACCATACCTCCAACAAATAAACAAATACTATTCTATGATTGTATTTCTTAGTCACCATCCCATAGGTGACTACCATATCTGAGTTTCAGCTGTCTAAATGGCCACTAAAGGGCAAACAAGAGAGACAGAATGTCTAAGTCTTAGTTGCTACCCAATTCCCATCTTTATTTTTGAGCTTAGATATCATAGCCATGCTATCCCATCTTTTTTTGGTGGAGCCAGCCTTTCCCAGGTTTCTGAAAGCTAACCTTCCCTGCTTTCAGATTTATAAAAGACCAAATTGGGAGTCCTAGTAAAATCAGAGATGTAGACTGTAATGTACTGAGCTTTACTTATGAAACAGGTGCAGGGAGCTGCACTGGAACCGTTAGCAGACCACATGGCCTGCTAGCCAGACTTGCTGTCTGCAAGGTTAATCAGTATGCATTTGAGCGGGAGAATGCGGTACATTCATTGGCTGACACCGCCCCAAGCTGAATGTATAAATAGGGGCGGAGCCATCTTTATTTGAGTTCTGTTTTGTCTTCAACAAAGAAGTACCTGTTTACTACTCCTGCGTCTTCAATGCTGAACCCAGCAGAAACAGAACATAGACAAAAGGTTATAATGTTATGCTAACCAATAATTTTCTTAGAAAGAAGATTTCCCTTTCCTTCAGGAAATTCAGCAATGAACACATGTCTCCAAACATTTAATATGAATTTTGGGGATTGGTCTCAGTGCATATGCTGGACTTTGTTTATTATTTCTCCAACAAAGGCAAATGGTTCATGTTTTACTTCTAAGACAGACTGAGAGATGACTTCCTCTAAAACGCATTAAAAACGGCTTTGCACCATTGTAGATAATATCCCTGTTGAAGAATATGCATCTGTATATGCACGTCGGTATGTTCACAGGAGCTACATTTGAGGGGCTCAGAACAATTTAATAGGTCCCAACACAGCCCTGATGCCACCTCCTGTTGTGCTATAATACAGAGTTTAGGGTCACAAGATCTTGAACAGAGTGATCCTTGTACAGTGAGAACCATGCTTCCTTTGGCCGATAGGATCCGAAGTGAGCTCTTTCCACTGGAACAAGTGGGACAGGTTAGTCTCCATGGGGTAAGGGCTTCCTCAGATACCCTAGACCAGGGGTAGGCAGCCTTGGCTCTTTTATGACTCGTGGACTTCAATGCCCATGCTGGCTTAGGAATTCTGG